AGAGCGTACACCATTCCTGTGACTGACATAGACATTGATGGGGCTCTCAATGGTTTGGAGGAGGTGATGAAAACCACCAAGATCATCATTGGCTGCTTTGTGGCCATCACACTCATGGCTGCTGTCATGCTCATAATTTTCTACAAGATGCGCAAGCAGCACCACCAGCAGGATCATGATGGGCCGACCCGCACCATCGAGATCATCAGTGTACACGAGGAGCTGACGAGGGTTCCAGCCATGGAGAGTCACTTGACTCTTCCGCCCTTGGAGCATTACAACCACTATAACTCCTACAAAACTGCTTATAACCATGTGTCGGCTCTCAGCTCGCTGCATAGTTCAGTGCATGAACCTTTACTAATCCAAGCCAGCTCAAGGGATAACGTGCAGGAGACACAAATTTGACCATGTTGGACGAATTGAACTCTACTAATGCTGTTTAAATTTTGGTTGTGGACACGCTGTCAGAATGAAGATGACAGTGTGCTTTAAGACCTTCAGCAATGTCAGTGAGAGCCAGGGTCTATGTATAATTATTTTAACAAGTGTCTTTACAAATCTTATTTATTTAAAGATATGTGAAGTGACTGAATTATAAAATCACAAGACAAAAACGGTTAATATCTTCTTTTTTCTTTTTCATTTCTACATTTTTAAACTGCGTAAACTGGGGGAATGAATGGTTCACTTTCATGTCTTGGTAGAATTAAGGTCAACTGCTGTGGTTATGAGAGCAATGAGACGAGGTGTTTTTTTTGTTGTTGTTTTTTTTGTTTGTTTTTTGGCATATTACATCCTGTTGCAACTGTGTTTTCATTTTTTGAGACACTGGAAACAAAAACTGGCCACTGAAAACAGCAGACTTAAAATCGCATGGAGCACTTAGATATGAATGGTGGGCCTGATGGATGCAGTGACTCTAGAGAGGGGTATAAATGGTTACATTTCCCCATGAAAAATCCTGTTATTGAACAAAAAAGGGAAAGCTTTCATTATCAGGGCCTGGATTATTCTGCAAATGCAGCTTGTGGGATAGGAAACATTTCTAGTATTTAGTGCAATTTATAAGCCATTGTTCTGAACACACATCAATTAACTTCAATTCAGAAAATAGGTTTGCATAATTGCCTTGAATTACAGTCCTCAAGCCAAGATAGTATCTAAAATGTGGCATTGGAAATTCAGCATTTTGGGTTCAGCATTCTTTCACTAAATCTATTTTTCACTAAATCTATTTATAACTGTAAATGTCAACAACCTATGAATATAAAAATGAATTCTATACATCAGTGAACATCAGGCTAGTACAATTATAGCCCCTTTAGTGGCTGAGGACAAGGGAATATGATTTCTAAGATTGTTTGCTGTGCGAGTATCAGACAAAAATGGCTATGAGGAAATAAATAATGAAATAAAAAACAGCCAGCTAATGTCACTATGGAAACCAATGACCTAATGCAAAAAAAAAAAAAACACACACACTGGACAAAATCATAGTGCAGCCCAGTGCTTAAAACATGTACTGTTTATTTGAGAACTGCATTATTTTCAATAGAGGTGATTTGTAAACCACTGTTTTTTACTGTGTACGTGTGCTTTTGTATGTTTGTATTGTATCTGCCATATGAGTTATTATTTTACCATTGTCTATAGAATTTTACATTCATTCTGTTGTGTATTTTAAAATCACTGTTTTTCTGGACTGGTTTATTTGACTGGCAACTGCATACCTCACCTAACATGATGATGATGAGCGTGTGAATTTGTCTTGTGTCCATACGTGCAAAGGGTTGTGTGTTTGTATGCTCTGCCATGAAACTCTGTTTTTCATCAGCTTGTGTATTGCTTTCTCAAAATGTTTGTCAGCATAAAAGCTGATGTGTGATGTCTCTCTCCCCCCTTTTGATCATTTTGGACAGCATGATAAGAAGATGTGATACTGGTCTCACCAGTCAACTGCTGAAGTAAACCTAATAGGTTCATATGTCAAAGGCATCAGAACGGTACATGAAGTATATACCTCTAATTCATCACATGAGCTGACAAGTTTCATTTTAAATAGATGTATTTGCCAGAAGGGAATTCATCACACAACATTGTGTATGTAAGGTTTTAATCTTACATTTGAGCATTGAATTAACAGAATCGTCTACTGAATGTGACAAATTTCAAGAAAACATATTTCATCTTACATGATTCTTTTTATATTTAATTTGACATGTTTAATTTTACTTTCACCCTCATTGCCAATCATATATGGAAGATGAATTATAACCACATGTTAAGCATTTCATAAAGGATCAACTGTTGCTTCCCAGCATATGTTTTTTTTTTTTTATTAATTAATTTTTGTATCCAATTCAAACTAAATATGTTCCTACCATTTTTATTGTACATAATAGGTGGGATAAATTGGGACACTAGAAAAAAGAAAAAAAACAGCATTGTGCTGTTGAAAAAAAGATGACAATGTCTCTGTTTTCAGAGGGTCTGTATATGAATGCTAGCTTGCTCCTATCTGCTTCAGTGTTCCTGAGCACTGCATCAGTTACAGAAGCTACTATGACTAGATCATTGATACCTACATGGCCTACATAGAAAATCTGTGGTGTTGGACTAAGCGGATTCTCTTTGGTTTTCTTCTTGTGATTTGTTTGTTATTGGTAACTCATTTTAGATTTCTATGCTGAACTTTTTTGGCAAGAGAATGTCTCTTTATTGACATGTTTCTACAAGAACTGTTATTGAAAAATAACCAATAATATTTCTGTCAAACTACACATTTGCTGATCAATTCATAATGCTACCATATGAGGATACAGCTAACTAAGCGTTAACCATGAAAAAATATATAAAACACCAGAGATTGTAGTTCATACGGTACATGCTGTAAATGTAAATAAAATGTTTGGTTTTTTTTCTAAAACTGTGAAGTGTGGGGACTTTTAAACTGTGCTTTTCAGTAATTTACATTATTTGCTTTGGGTTAAAGGCACAATATGTAAGATCTTTTTATTAAAATATCCAAAAACCACTAGAACAGTATTATATATTTTGCTGACTTGTGTACTTACATTATTCCAAATGTTTCGAAGAACGTTTAAATCCAGAGAAAGAACTTTTTTGGCAAGAGAATGTCTCTTTATTGACATGTTGCTACAAGAACTGTTATTGAAAAATAACCAATAATATTTCTGTCAAACTACACATTTCCTGATCAATTCATAATGCTACTGTATGAGGATACAGCTAACTAAGCGTTAACCATGAAAAAATATATAAAACACCAGAGATTGTAGTTCATACGGTACATGCTGTAAATGTAAATAAAATGTTTGGTTTTTTTTCTAAAACTGTGAAGTGTGGGGACTTTTAAACTGTGCTTTTCAGTCATTTACATTATTTGCTTTGGGTTAAAGGCACAATATGTAAGATCTTTTTATTAAAATATCCAAAAACCACTAGAACAGTATTATATATTTTGCTGACTTGTGTACTTACATTATTCCAAATGTTTCGAAGAACGTTTAAATCCAGAGAAATACGCAATTTTTAATAGATACAC